AGCCAGGGGGGAATCGAGACCGACCCTGAGAAAACCTCATCTGTGACGGACTGGCCTCGTCCGAAGAACAGCAAGGACGTACGTAGGTTCTTGGGATTCACAGGCTATTACAGGAGGTTTGTCCCCGGGTATGCGAAAACTGCTAAGCCATTGTTTCAGCTCACAGAAGGAGGTGGTCGACGCAAGGCTACCCGGAAACCCCTCCCTCCCTTCAATTGGACTGAGGAATGTGAAGCGGCCTTCGAGCTACTCAAATCGAAACTAACGTCTCCTCCAGTACTCGGCTTCCCAGACTTTGAGACCCCATTCCTTCTTGAGGTTGATGCGTCTGGTTCTGGCCTTGGGGCAGTCATCAGTCAACTCCAGGATGGTGAGAAGAGGGTGATTGCTTTCGCAAGCAAGGCTTTAACACCATCCGAGAGCAAATACCCAGCTCATAAGCTCGAATTCCTGGGGTTGAAGTGGGCTGTGGTAGACAAGTTTCGTGAGTATCTCCTAGGTCGCCGATTCCATGTCCTGACAGACAACAATCCACTCCTATATGTCACCAGTTCTGCAAAGCTGGATGCAACTGGCCAGCGATGGGTTGCAGCACTTGCAGATTTTGATTTCAGTGTGGAATATAGAAGTGGGAGGCTCAACGCCGCAGCAGACGCCCTTTCAAGGTTGCCAGAGGCATCGGCTGGAGTACCAACTCAAGATGTGCAAGTCGACTGCAGCCATTTAGCAGTGTCAGCCGTTCTGCAAGAAGGATTGCAACCGTCTGGATTTGTACATCCCACAGCTCTCCAGTTGGCAGCCGGTATATCTAACCCAGGCTCTCCAGGCAACCAAGGTGAAAGTGAGACGGGAACATCCTCCATCGACATTATTCCAGTGGAAACTCTTGCTCGGCAGCAAAGATCGGATCCTGATCTATCGGTAGTTATGCCGTATGTGGAGCGAGGCTCCAAACCTACCAAGCAGGAGTTTCAAGTGTGCTCTCCAGATGCTAAGCTCATCCTCAGGCAGTACCAACGCCTAGAACTAGAGTCAGGAGTTCTTCATCGGCGGTACCAGGACTCTGCTGGGACACTGCGTCATCAACTGCTACTCCCACGTTGTCACCACAAACTGGTCCTTGGTCACCTTCATGATGATGTTGGTCACCCTGGGGCAGAAAGAACTCTTGACAACCTTCGCCAGCGTTTCTTCTGGGCAAGGATGGCACAAGATGTGCATGCCTGGTGTACCACCTGTAGGCGATGCTGCCTGAGGAAGACACCGACTTCAGGGAACCGTGCTCCCCTTTCGAGCATCCACACATCTGAACCGCTGGAACTGGTGTGCATTGACTTCCTGAAGTTGGATAAATCTAAAGGTGGCTACGAGAATGTCCTGGTGGTGACTGACCATTTCACCAGGTATGCACAAGCCTACCCCACAAGGGATCAGCTCGCCACAACAGTGACTAAGACCTTGTGGGAGAATTTCTTTGTTCACTATGGTTTTCCCCGCAGAATACACGCAGACCAGGGAAGAAACTTTGAGAGCCACCTCATTGCAGAACTCTGCAAAGTGGCGGGGATCAAAAAGAGCCGGACCACTGCCTACCATCCGCAGGGGAATGGAACAACGGAGCGCTTCAATCGAACTTTGATCAACATGGTCGGAACTCTAGACCCCTCGCAGAAGGCCAGTTGGAAGGATCATCTTGGCCATCTGACCCATGCCTACAATGCAACGAAGCATGAGTCCACTGGTTACGCTCCCTTCCATCTTATGTTTGGCAGGCACCCAAATCTCCCGGTGGATGTCATCTTTGGTATTTCATCTCGAAGTGAAGATGACGGATATGATGATTATGTCACTCGATTTCGAGAAGGTCTCCGATCAGCCTACGATCTGGCGGCAGGGAAATCGAGGGTGGCGAAAGATCGCCAGAAGGTCCAATTCGACAAGAAGGCCAAACTGACATCACTTTTACCGGGAGATCGTGTGCTGGTCATGGACAAGTCCACAGGCGGACAGAAGCTGGCAGACAAATGGGAGTCAACACCCTACATCGTGTTAAGTAACCATCCCGAGCTGCCAGTGTATGTGGTCCAACGACCAGACACGAAGCGGGAGCGGACTGTTCATCGAAACCTTTTAACCCCCTGTATGTTCCTGCCCCTTGAAGAAACTGCCCCCAAACCAAACATAGCGACCAATCGACCTAAGGCTGACCAGACTGAGGGACCAAGGATGGAATCTTCTCATAACGAAGAAACAGAAGATCTGTTACTTCGGGTGCCTGAAGTGACTGGTCCAGCCCGAGCTCATCATGATCGACATCAGGAAACTGGTAGAGTCCCGATCCACCCGGAGGGCGTAGAATATCCTCAACGCCCTGCTGAAGACCCACCCTCCATCATTGACTTAACCCCCGCTGACCCACCGATTGTCCCACCTCCCATAACCGATCCACACCCAATAGATGATCTCCCTTCTTCAGATGACCTACCTCCCGCTGATAATCCAGCCCCCTGCGATGACTCATTCCACGCTCATGAACCTCCTCTTTCAAATAACCAACACCCCTTAGATAATCTTCCTTCTTCAAGTGAGCAAACTCCCGCTGACGATCTCGATCATGGAACCCCGATTAGACGCAGTGGACGGACGCGTCGCCCTGTCGAACGGCTCCAATACAATACTCTCGGTCACCTCCTTAATCTTTCCGTTTATCAAACAAAATTAGAGGCTGGGAAGAAGCTGTGGGCACGGTGGAAAAGTCCCGGTATGGATGTAGCTAGGGCTAAGCTAGGTATGGCATAGGAGAAAGTTTTTTTAAAACACTATTTTACAATAGTGCGGTTCTATTCAGAATGTTGATTTTGTTAATTATTTATATTTTTGTAATAAATTGTTTTAAATGCCGGGACGGCATTGTTTCGAAGGAAGGGAGAGTGTAACCAGGTGACTGTTTTATGAAGACTAGTCACAAACCCCTATGACTCACTTTATGCAAATATCTTTTAACACGTGACCCCGCAACATTACCTTTGTCCCTTTGTTTCTAAACACCTTGAACTCGTGAACCCGCTTGACTCCTCGCAGTCCGTGTCACGAGTTTAACCATCACACATCTCTTCTTCGCCTCCTGTTTTACAGGTAATTTACCATATTTTGTTTTATACTTATATTTAAGTAAATCATTATTATCATGTTATATAACTTTGTGCGGTTGTACTGATGTATGATTGGATGTGTTCTGATGTTCGCATTTGTAGATATCGTTGTTTTAAGGAAAGAATTTAAGTTAAGAAAGTTTAGCTTTCTTACAACTATTTGTGAAGCGTTATACTGTATGGGTGAATGGTACCTGCGAATATATATTTCACATTGTACATAACTATTTAGCTTTCTTACTTAAATATATGAGCTAATCAATATTTTGTCGTTTATTAACCACTAGTGTGATTCTAGTGAGCATTTGACATATTCTAGTTGGGGAAATATTATTACGATATTCCATATTCGATTTGATAACGTTTTGAGAGATTTCCATCTCAGAAGGAGATAACCTTCGATTTGACATTGAACCGGCCAGATTTTGCTAGTCTATAAGTCCGTACTTTCTTATAATATGTATCTAGTTATTATGTCGTTTATTTTGTTTATGATCTTACAATATCATGCCAAGATAATAATCATGTTAATATGTGTTCCGATATACCAGGGATTGGTGTGGAATTGGCGTATAACTTTATAATCATTTATCTACGATACATTGGTGTCTGCGTGATTAGACTATGTACGTTCACACGGTGTGTAGGGATTGAGCGCATCGTTGAGAACAAAGAAAGGATTACAACTTTTAACTAATAGTACCAGTACAAGTATTACCTTGACAAAGAGGAACTTGGGCTTTTTAGGGTTATTTGTCTCAACTCGGTAATCTGTATAGAGCAGGTACTATAGTATTAGTAGCTGAAGTAAATATGCTTTAGCCGTCACTATTATATATGTATGAGAGGGTTTTATTATGGTCCAAAAGACCAAAACGCTCATTTATCTATTCCGCCCTTTACAATATGAATTAAGTTAGAGAACAACAATTATTATTCATTTGCACGATATATGTCCAGTTTACGAAAGCACTATTTATCTATCGGTCGGTAGTCTCCAGTTGTATATTATTAGTCAGACATGTATAAATCTATTTAGTCTATTCCTTTTATGTTAGTTATAGTTTCTTCGTTATAATTAGTTAGTACATATTTGTTATCGTCTTGTTTACTTTATTAAGGTTTAGTCGAGTTAAAGGGATATTGGTTATCTTCGCAGTTATACGTTTCGAGTATTTGTTATGAAGTTAATAGTTACTATATGTTATCCCTTCTAGTGGATGATAAGTCTGTGTTTGTTTATATATGGGAACGGTCATGTTGTTGATGTTTACTTTGCCATTTCATCTAATGGCTAAGTTTGTATGTAAACCCATATATTAGGAAGATAGAAACTATAGTAGTGTATTTGGGTTTTGATTATGTGAGTTTGTTTACGTGTTATATATTATTATTACTTGTTATTAAAAGCAGTCCGTGTCATGAGTTTAACCATCACACATCTCTTCTTCGCCTCCTGTTTTACAGACTCATCTCATCTATATTATTTTGGTACCCTACTCTTACAAAAGTAACGAGGGCTACATATTAATACCCGGTCATCGAATTCAGGCTTATCCGCACGCAATGTATGCACATTCTCCACTCCCTGGAGAGCATTCCAGCCAGGCGTCATTTTTACAAGCGCACACTTGGTAATCTACACACATTAGCTTTCGTATCCTACCGGGTACCCATTTAACATCTGGGTGGGGAGTGGCAAATGTAGATCAATGTCCTGCCAAAGGACATTAGTGCCGAGGTGGGACTTGAACCTACCGCGGACCTTGTGATCCACAGTCCGGTGACATATCCACTCGTCCATGACACCTCTACCTGTACATGAATACTACAGTCAAATTAACTCACCCATGATGCGTAGAGCCCCGGCACACATGATGCAGGGTTCTACAGTCACAAAGAGTTTGGTCTGTGAGAAGAGCTCTCCTCTCTCCAACTGTTTGTCATCACACCACCTCATTGCCTCTTCTAGGGCCAAGATTTCTGCATGCCTTGTGGCCTGTAATGCGGTATATTGGAGCAAAAATGATTCAGCAAGATTGGCTTTAGCTATAGAATAACTGAATTAAACTAACAAGAAATTTTGACAAGACTTTGCTGCCTAATTAAGAACTACACAAATAATTAAACAATTTGTTATTTCATAGTCAAACCAGAAAGAAACGTACGCCCGGTAACCAATGTTCATATCAATTTTTCATGTTTTGTGAAATAAATAAAAACTAGTCATATGTCGACAGGACAGAGAAAAGTCCTGTGCTACTAATTTCCTTCTCTTTTGACAAACAATGACCAATGACCAATGATAATGATTGATACGGCACACTGATAGATTACAAATATTTCATGATCTTCATCTACCGGTATACTAGCCCTTACTTACTGAAATTCAAGTTTACCCCCTATTTTGAACTCACTATTTTCATGAGTTCTACAAGTGTAAAATAAATACAGTTTCCTTTTACAGATTTGGTATGGACCAATCTAACATTCAGATTAAAAGCACTTTCCCGGACTATAGCAGTAGGGACAAAAATAGCTCAAGTGCAAAATACCTCTCCATGCATCTGTAAAATGTATAAGGGTCAAGGTTTACATGTACTTGTGTGGTTGGAACTATTCTGCAGTACTTTTAAAAAACTTACATTCTTGGTCTCGTTGGCAGCATTTCCTCCGGTTCCAATGATCTGATCTTCATAGACTAAGAGACACCCAACAGGAACCTCACCCCGACCTAGAGCTTGCTTAGCCTGTAGAAAAAGAGTGGTTTCCATCTTAGAAAGTACAATATGCACTAATACAGGGCTCAACACTAACTTTTGGTTGGTTTGGTGTGTTGACTTTGTTTGTTTTTACCTGACTGCTAATAAAGCAAATTTATTTTAAATTCTTTCTAAAAAACTTGTTAATGGGGTTTAAAAATGCCTATTACCAGAGGGCACTTATGCATCAACTTGGTTTTGAACCAATGACCTCCTGCATGGTTACAAAGACCACTGCTCTACCTCTAAGCCATCACACCTCCACCTATTTTTCTTTGAGAGGTTCAGAGCAAAATATAGTTGGGACCCTGAGCGTACCAGATAGCTCAACCTGTGTAGGAAAGTAATAGTTTTATCTTTGAAAAATATGCTTCAATACACATTAACTTTTCTTCAGGAGCTTCATAAATCATAGTACAATATAATCAGAACTGATCGTACCAACTACCAGGCCCTTGATATTGACCTATATAGGACTAGTTCTGTAGGAAGAGATTACATATTAAACAAAACAAAGATATGCAAATTTGATGCAGGACTCAATACAATCTTTTCTTCAGGGGATTCAGAGTCATATATATTAAGGGTCAAGAATACAAGGCCCGTGATATTGTAAATGTCCAGAGTGAATTACGGAGGTCCATGTGTACATGTGAGCAGGTCTGACTAGTATAAATAATATCCAACAAGATTTAATCATTCAACGTCTCTACTTTCCTCATTTCTGAGTGGTTATACAGTTCCTAAAAGTTTAGTGTGGCAAAATGATGTACATCTGCCAATTAATATTGTTCTAGCTTTGACATTCTTAGTATATAATTTGCGGGATTTCTTATTTTGTTTGTTTTGTGATGAATGTCTACATACCATGTTCACTGCTTCTTTCATCCACTTCTCATCATAAGCTTCTTCAGATTGCGCCATGGCTGAAAAAGACAAGAAAAACTTGACTAATATATTGCAACACGGGTTAAAACAATTTTTTAAATAAATGACAACAATGAACAACCTCCCTTTATTAGGGAGGCCAATGCCCAAATCTAACTTTTTAATTACTAATTTGTTTATACTAAAACTAAGATTAAAAGAAAGCATTTACTTTCACTAAGAAAATCCACCCATCTGCCGACTCCATAGGTTCCATCAAATAGGAGATATCCAGCTGGTTTGTAGCCATTTCCTTCTACGCCTTTCCGTACGTAAGAGCCTTGAAACAATTATATTTCATGTCGCAAAGTTACGTTCATAATTAGACAGGCCCGAGGGACAAAGTTCATGAGGAAGTTTAAAACTTCGCGCGAAAGTGCAATCACTCAACAGCGGCTAGCCTTGAATCGGTCGCACACGTACACACCTTCTTCTTCTTAGTTGATCCCTCCACCGACACAGGCAAGCCCCGATGCAGGCTGAAGTCCAGCCATCAATGACAATGTGCGAACGATTACATCTTCTACTACTACGAGCCGAAGACGATGGTTCAAAAAAGGAAAGAAATATATATAATTCATTGATATTTACCTTAGATGTGTATTCCAATAATTTGATTTCCTCATGAGTATTCCTTATTATCAACGATCGAGAAGTTACGAGGTCCAATTAAAATCCATCTTGCAGCGAACACAATCATAGCGCACATCCATGCATGCAACGTACGTGTACTAATATTTCTCTCACTCTCTCTCTCTCTCTCTCCCTTTCGCTATACGTAACATACACACTCACTCAATCACTAACACACACCTTCAAATCATGGCTTTCATTTCAATTTTCAATTGGAGTATAGACTGCTCACGTAGACTTTTTTTTTTACTGAAATATCTTTTTTAACACTTCTCATACATTACTGCACGACACTCGTATCTAGTGCTGTGAGAATAAGGTACTAGGGTCTATAAATAAGACTACGCTTTGCGCACGATCTGACCGGAGCTCAGATTATGTCGCAATACCCTTTATTTTTGGCGCGAACAATGACGTCACTGTTCACTGTTTTCCTTCTCATTTTGAGATGGATGTAGCTATAGGGCTCAAACCAACGCAAGATTGACAGAAACATCGTACTCTATCTACTTTCGAATGTTCAGTTTGTAAAAATCTGTATTTAAAAAGATATAATCTTTTTTCTTTATATTTTCTAGTTGTTAGAAGTGGCAATTGTGAACATCTGAAATGTTGATCTCTATCAAAAGTTCTTTACTCAAAACGGATCCCATATTTTTAGGGTCTACCTTCTGCCAATGAGAAGGTTTTTAGTGAGCAAACCTCTACGCCCTCTAGGATTTTCTTAGTCGGTGGTGCGAGTGCGTCAAGGTCGTCTGCAACCACAATTATTGGATTAAAAAACGTCAAAATCTGCAAGATTGTCAACAAATGGTGAAAGACTGTTACAGATCCGTGATTATAGGTATGTTGTGAAATGTATAATTGTATTTTCTTTTCATATTTTCTTCAATTTTTATTTTTACATCATTTTTTTCCCTTTGCTAATTTTTTGAAGTGGGCGACGAGCGCACAAATCGTAGGTGTAGAAGCCTTACGCCCGGGCATTGGCCTCCCTACCTTTATAACTGAAAGTACCCCCTCCCCCCCCCCCCCCCCATCTCAGGACTGCCATTAACATTTCTGAACCCCACCCCTCCACTCTTATTTAAGGTACACATAGACTCTATGCATGTTCCCCCTTTTGAAAACACCCCCCTAAGTCCGGTGTGTATAAAGTCCATACCGGCCAATTTTTTTTTGGTGTTACGAGCCGGACTTTGTTGCGTGAAAAGTACCCCATTACCAGAGATTTGGGGGAACATAAATGCGGTCCCTCCAACCCTTAACCCCAGAGTGGGAGGATCGAGGGGGGGGGGCTGTTGTTGCCGTTGCTTGTACTCGATCACTGCTTGTTTTTTAAGTCACTGAGTGACAGACTGAGACAGACTCTGTCTCTCGATCACTCTTAACTCCGGGAAGCTCCAACACCGGCGCCGGTGTTGGAGCTTCCCGGAGTTAGATCACTCTCAGCTTAATAGTAACTCTCAGTCTCACTCTCAGTCTCTGACATTTTCACATTTACTTAGTAATGTAATTAGTCTAGATCTAGTAGTATAGTAGTAGATCTAGATCTAGATCTAGTTAGTACTAGATCTAGATCTAGTCTAGTTGGTTAAACTTTAAAATAAAATAATAAAAACAAAGCCTGAAACACTGAAATTTGCAAATTACATACCTACATGTATCTCGTCCCCTTGTCCTATAGTTATGCCACATGAGTTGTTCCCTAAATCTAGACCAGTATAGGCAGTAAGCTGATGAGATTGATTGAGTCATTCAATCTATTTTGTTGTTTTTGTTTCTCCACTGGATCAAAGCTAGCCGAGATGAATTAACGGTCGAGAGTGAGACGGCCGCCGACGCGACGGCCAGGTGGAGCTGAGACACGTTTCGAATGAGGGTTAGCGCGCGCATATATCGCATAAGCACTTTTTGCCAATATTATTTCAATCTCGAAGATACCGTATTGTAAAAAACGAAGAAGAAGTCCGTAAATTTGTGGGAACTTTCTTGCGATTTCAGAGCTTTTTCCAGTTCTAACAGTGAGGAAATGAGAACTAAAGCTTAGCCACCATGAAACTGGTAACGAATACCTTCCGAATTTTATTATGTAATTGCCAAAGAATATGTCACAGAGAGCCGTAAATGTCGTTTGGTTATGTTTCTTATGAACAGCACAACATTCAGCATGTGGGGCTGACTAAATGAGTAAACGGTACCCGCTCAATCTTTCAGCCGACGCGGCCGGGAAGCCTCGCGCAGTGCTAGCGTGCGTTGACTGGCGCGCTCTGCTCGGCTCAGCTCTGTTGATTTATGCACATTCCTTTTTGTGTTGGTACACTCGATTTTTGATTCACAGCATTTAAGTAAATCATGCATGACAATGAGTACAGAATAAACTTGTGAAATAGGATGGGGTTAAGACAGCAATAACCATCTGATTTGGGTCATTTCTTAATTTTCTTTAATAAAACTGACATTTGTTGTCATTCCCCAATACAGATGGCAACCCAGAGATCTCGTACCGTGCGGGTAAATTAGAGCCACAGCGGAACAGCTTTTCGTTTCCGACATTTCTCCCCCGATTTTCTTTATTTAGATCTAATTTTCTGATTTCTAAATCAGATGTAGAATCTAAATTAGGTCGGTCTATATATCTCCTAATTACAGTTCTCAAAATTTGCTAACCTATTATAGAATGTGAAATTTTCGGACTTAAGCTACAGTCCCATATACGTCCCGGACCGTCCCGGACCATCCCGGACCCCATCCGGGGTGATCCGGGATTCGGTCCGTGTTGACACCGTGTTGGCACCGGGGTGGTCCTGGATGGTCCTGGATGGTCCTGGATGGTCCTGGGCGGTCCGGGAGTCGACCCCGGATGTTTTTGACGGTCAAAAACTGCCGGGGTGGTCCGGGACGGTCCGGGACAATAGTTTGATCCGGGGTGATCCGTGTAGCCACCGTGCTGGGTCCGGGGTCATCCGTACTGGCGCTGGGGCGGTCCGTGTTGATCCGTGGCAGTCCGGGAGTGAGTTATTGACCGCCCAGGACCATCCAGGACCATCCAGGACCACCCCGGTGCCAACACGGTGTCAACACGGACCGAATCCCGGATCACCCCGGATGGGGTCCGGGATGGTCCGGGACGGTCCGGGACGTATATGGGACTGTAGCTTTTAAAGCATCACACTTTTTTGAACAAAACATCCCGGACCATCCCGGATCACCCCAGACCATGGTCCGGGATGGTCCGGAGTGGTCCGTGCTCGTCCGTGCTGGTCCGGCTTTATATGGGACTGGGGCTTTAGATCTACTTATATGAATTATCCAATTTGTATCTTAGTCCTGTGAAACAGTACGTTCATGCACTCGAAAATAGAGCTATATGACCCGGCGGCCGGTATATTTCCGGGTCAACCTACGCCAATGGCCAATCAGAGCTCTCGTTTCGTGGGAGTTCGTTGGTCAAGCTGGGCCGTCTCGTACGTAGCTACGGTAGCTATTGGACGTTCGAAAAGAAAAAATGAATATTCATCAACTAAAACCAAGAGCAAGACGGATAATGTTGACGACGAGACTTTCTCGGATTAATCATTAATTTAGGATCTAAATGAGCAAGCTATCGTAAGTCAAATAAGCAATATATATGTTATTTTTAATTTGTATTATAATTGCAGCAGTTATGAGGATGTAAAGAGTGAAAATCTCGTTGCATATCTCATTCATCGCGGTCCGGTCGAACCGAACCATTTGTTCCGTACAGTCCCTCACAGTAAGAGGTCCCCATCCTTCAGTCTCTATAATCGGAGGTCTAGTGGAGCCAGACGTAGTCTCAGTGGAACAACCGACGATTAGAGAGACTGAAGTTTTCGGTCTAGATGGGGTTATACTTATGATCCTAGAAAATCTATACTTTTTTAGCATGTTTTCTTGTTTCAGAATTCAGGGGGTTGTTTCTCAGAACCGTTTTAAAGAATTATCACAGTAGGATCACTGGTCAAAGAATAAGGATCGTCTTCATAAACGAGGATCGTCTTTGTAAACGCAGACCGATGCTTCCTCAAAAATAAGGATTTTCTGCATTTTCACAGACGTTTCATATTTTTGATCGGCGCGTTGGCGATGCGAAAAACGGATTCCGCAATGATTTTCTTGATGCATTTTGAATTGACTTTGTACAGAGACTTTCATGTTATGAGCGATAAATCCTTGGGAAGACGGACAACGGGACAACGGGACAACGGGACAACCCATAAAAGTAGACGGTGAACTAGGGTTATTTTCTCACGGGAATCCATTTTTTGCATCGCCAGCGGGCGTTTCGGTAACCAGAAACCTGCAGAGCGCCAATAGAAAATAATTTGCGAAGATGCAGGGGATCCTTATTTTTGAGGACGCATTTTGTCCATGTTTACGAGGATATCCTCGTTTATGAGGACACTCCTCATTCTCGGATCAGCGCCCCTACTGGTTATTGATCGTCATCCGATAACGATAATCAATATTATGATAGTGATTGTGATCGGGATTGGGCAGTTGTAAAATGGAGAGTTGTCTGTGATATTCTTATCATGGAGGCCGTTGTTGCTTGATTAAAAGGTGTTTAATTTCCAATTCCTGTCTGATCTCTGGTCATTCCAGTTTGGTGAATCCCTACAAAGTACAACTACAAGATCAACGACATCTCGCTGCTGTCGCTCAACTTGTCCGTGCTAAGTCATAAGTGATTCACAAAACTGTCTTTGCCAAGATGAGCAACAACTTACCTGTCATATGATCTTTTATAATTGCTGGAATTGGAAACAACCTACACAAGTCAGTTTGTTGCTATTCTATCAATCTATGGGCCGTGTAATGTATGATTAGTTTCAATATCATTTTGAGAAAAATATAGATGAGTTCTGTACTTAATTCTCTGGGATGCTCATTCTGTATAAAGTATCAATAATCCCTTAGCATTGATCTACCATGAGCCTCATACTATTCACTTGCCTGTCATTTTAGTTCCAATAATATGTGATAGATGACCTCCTCATTGCCGTATTAATCATATATCATTCATTGGCCATCTGTTTTATTCATGGAGGGGGGGGGGGGGGTAATAGTGACCGAATTAACACTGTACGTGTAGGCTTATAGATGATGATATTTTTCCAATGATTCCTCTATATTTCAAAACCTATAACATGTTATAATGTAGATTTTATTTATATTACTAATAATAGAAAAAGGCCATCCAAATTCTTGCATTTTGATTGGTTGTGCTGCTTAATTTTGCAACTTTGTGTACCGGTACACAAATAAAAAAAACAATGAAAATGTTTAGACAAATTAATTTCTTTTATTAATGAGGTTGATAGTTTTTTTTTTATGTTGCCCATAAAGTAAGAATAATTTTTTTTTTGCCTCTTTTCATGCAGGGATTGTGAGAATATTATTCATTATTGATAGATATTGAAAATAAATTATATCGTTATGTAACTATGATTTTGCAGTGATTTCAATTAAAGACTCAAAGAAATTTTGTTTCCAACTTTTATGGGCAAAAGAATGAAATAAAAAATTATTTTTATTAAGTTTCTTCAGAAAATATATTCACTAATGATTTCTAATCCATCTCTCTCTCTCTCTCTCTCTCTCTCTCTATCTATCTATCTGTCAATTCTCCCCCTTACATTCACCTCTCATCTGTCACTATATGTCTGTCCGTCTCTCTCTCTCACTCTCTCTCTCACACACACTCTCTCTCTCTCTCTCTCTCTCTCACTCACTCACTCACTCACGCACACACTCGATCTGTTACAATTCAATTCAAATTTTATTGGTCCAAAGGAAATTTGTTGCATTTACAATTTTTACATGCATTACCTATTCACAGAGAAAGAAAAAAATATATATACATGTGACATAATACATGTATACAACATAAAACAAGTAAATAGTCATTCTTTAACTCTATGCCCATATTCTCTCTCTCTTTCTCTCTCTCTCGATCTCATTTTTATTTCTGTACTAGAGGTACTTACATGTAACTCCATGTACATCCTGTTGAAGCTACCAACCTCAAGAAAATGTGATGAACAATAATTTCTTTGAAATCCAAACATTTATTCACTTGTGCCTATATGCAGGGTGCTACAAGAATTTTTTTCACCACTTGCCCTGTCGGGCAAGTGGGTTTTCAATTTACTTGCCCAAACATATTTCCACTTGCCCAAAACTTTAAAGCGAAAAAGGACTCGAGGTTAAAGCATTTATTATCTCGTAATGATAAGTTAGTGTTTTAGATAGCAAATTAATGCACATACATGTACAGTGTAACTGTACTGAATAATAACCTAATATGTCAAAGAAAATGGTCAACAAAGGATGGTTGAAGGTTTAAAAAACGCATTTTATTGATTCTCCATAAATAATCAGATTCACATGAATCTCGGCAAGGTAGAATGGTTCAAGCAGGTTCAAGTTTTTAATATTCAGTCATGTAAAAAAGCATAATGACCCTGTTGTAAAAAATATGATACAAACATGTCATTAATGGTAGCCACATGTACCATGGTGCAACATCACATGTGTGTCTGTGCAAGCCGCTGTCATTTGGAAACGTAGGCTAATTTTCAGCTGTTAATAATTTGGGTCAACTCTTCCATCAAGAAACGTCATGTAAATAATGGGTAATCAACTATTTTAAATAAAGTACGGACATTTTTATTTCATCATTCACTGCTATAAATATCATGCCAAAATTTGTAAATTCTTACTAAATAATAATATTGAAGATATTTTACGATAAATCTCGGATAAGTATGCGAAAACTAGACTAAACAACGTCGCTAAAACCATGAAAACAAAACAACAACGGCTTATATTCTGGGGGTCTCGATACTATTATCAAAATGACTCGCTCGGTCGGATCTTGAGACCGCAGTAATAAATTGAAAACGAGACAAAAACATTCATCTGATTTATATGAGCAGCGAGTTTTAAATAATATGTTCACAATCATTAACAGTCATTATGAATAAATATCAAACATTTGACTTTTTGTACTTACTAGAAAATCCCTGTTGTTTATTCCATTCCGATTCGCACGTGTTCATTTCCCTAGAATAATGACGTCATATTTGGCGTGATTCAACCAATCGGCAATCAGAGAATAGCAAAGGCCTGTCGGTGCGGCCTGCAGAGCTAGAGAGAGAGAGCGCGAATAAGCTCGCAGCTGGTACGATCGCGCTAGCTGTCTCTAGCTAGCTCACGGCCGGCCGTGCGTGGAGGCGGAGCGGCATTCATGGCTTGAAGTGTCACTGTTGCATGCGCGCTGAGCTAGCTGAGCTGGCTAGCTGTCTGTGAAGTTTTTTCGAAATCGGAACGATCGCTTTTTTGCTTCTGGATTTTGACGACGGGTAAGAAGTTGACGGGTGAATGGTAGAGTTCTTGGACACTAGGAAATTACTGTAAAAGTATCACTTGCCCGAATCGGGCAAGTGATAATTTGATTTACTTGCCCGACGGCTCAATTTGGTTGCCCCGGGACGTCGGGCAAGCGGGTTTGTCGCGCCCTGCTATATGATATTTATAAATGCACAACATTTTCTTTGTTGTTCATTACTATTGTAAGCAATAAAATTAGACTCATTCCATACTTGTATTTGTTACAGTTACTATTTGTTTCTCTCGTCTCTTCTCTATATATTCATTGCACATCATTTGCCTATCACTTACATATTCATTTACTTCAATTACTCCTCCATCCATCTCCTCTACGTACCAAGCCTTCCATCTCACCTGGTATGTTCCTTCCTCTTCTCATTCTTTATTCATGGTAAGGTTTTAATTTTACTGATCCAAATGGTTAGCTTTCCACTCTGTTATGCTTCAGTACACTCCTGACCTACATTCATTATCTGATGTCTGTTAAGCTGTTGGCTTCTATTGTTCCATCCCTATTCATTCATCCTCATTCACATTACCTGCCATAGCACCGCATACACACCCACACACACGCACACTCTTCCTATCTCTTAGCTATTCAACTCAGCACACCATAGGCACATGGCACTCTATCTTTCCTCAGGCTTTCTATTGGTCACTTACTTCATGCACAATCTTGTGATTGGTTGTTATTGTTTCATTGACTGCATGTCAGCCATCTTGGCAGCCATTTTGAAGATGTATTAAAATATAGCAGTGCAGCTCAAGTCAACAATCATGTCAGACTAGTTCTGTCTTGTGTGAGTCTTACAATGGTCTTATGTATTTCTACTTCTTACTTATCATTGGTTCTCACTCCTTTTCCTTTTGATGTTCCTTTGTCTACCTGAGGAACTGTATATTTTGTCCGCTTTCTTTGTCAGTCATGTTCATAGTGACAGCAGCCTACAATAAAAGACAGACAGATCGACCTGCACTGGACAGGTGCTGATTTAGGGATCTGCTACTTTTTTATTGGAGATTTAGGAGAGAGGATTTCATTTAAGTGAGTTTGGCGGTGGTTCTTGGATGATTGGTGTATTAAAGATATATTGGTGAGAGGTGCACTTTTATTAGTTTACAATTACACTATTATTGTGAGAGTTTACACTATTACAGTAAGAGATTTCAAAGTTATAGTTAATCACTTACTGTTACACCATAGAGTTGTTTGATGAGATTATTGCGGATTTGTCTGCCATCGCCAGCAACCGCTGCTTGAACGTCGTTATTGTTGTCTTCAGAGTGTTGCCCAATAGGGTCGTCCTAGGGCAGATTGTTGCTTACACAGATATTGTGGAGCACAGATACCGCCACGAAAATGTGGCACACACGCTCTGGCACAAACCAATGTCCACCCCCAGATACGGGTCACACGTCTATACACCTGAAATCAGACTTCAGGACTCTGAAAGATCTTTCGAGTACTGAACGACCTCTTTTATGGCTTTGGTTGTATCTTTCTTCTTGTCTTGATTTGATTTTCTTTGATTTTCTTTCCTTCTGCATTCATGTAAGTATACAGTTTTTCGATAACAATAATAATATAAAGTACAATACATGTAAGTATTTTTCTGACAATGAATCATAAATAAACAAATACATATTATATATTATAAATTGTTATTTTCAAAAACGAAATGATAAACCGTCATAAATACTAAATTTCCTCAAACCTTATAAAACATTATGAAATTATTTGCGGAAGAAGGACTGCTCGGGTTAAGGAGAAGAAATGGTCTGAGAGGGTACCTGCTATCACCTATTAGGTGGCCATGCACATGTACATCTTCCTCAAACCTTCTACAAATGCCTCAGTTTGCTCAAATGTATGAGTCGTGGCTTGAGCCTGGGAAGCAGGCAAGAACGTTTAGGAACTTCATTTGCGAATCACAAATGCACTGAATATTGATGGAATGGTAGCCCTTTCTATTCACGAAGAGATGTTCATCTATCGAAGGTGAGCGAATGCGGACATGGGTACAGTCAACGGCACCCAGCGTATTTGGAATGCCTCACATTCCACCGAAACCGCGCTTTACTTGAAGTAGGGAAGCCCTGTCACTTGGGAAGTCGATGTAGTTGTTGGCCTTTCTGACTAGCACTCTGGAAATATCTCAAACTACTCTGCTAACTCTAGCTTTACTTACGCCTTGCAGGTCTCCCGTGACTGCATATAAACTCCCAGTTGCATAAAAAGGTAATGCCATTGGAACCTAAAATGAAAACAAAAATTAACAATAACAATAATAATAGTAATAATAACGATTCTATTAATACATTGAAGAAAAAAAAACGTACAGACACACTAACCAGCAAAGCAACATGTAATGCGATCGAACGTCATATAACTTTTAAACTGAAATACATGCAGTCATAACTATACATTTACCTCTAAATCTTGCTTTCGAATGTCGACAAGCTGACGCAGAATCTCCATTTTCGCCTTTTCGATGCTCAGCAACTTTTGGGAGAAACTTTCAGCTGGTTGCCGGCTCTTTGTTTGTTTCTGCCTTGCCTTTGGAGATTGCAAAGTCAAACAGCTTGGGCCATGTGAATCGTCCGTGTCTACCCCTCCCGGGATGCCCTCGATTGCGGTGGAACCCATGTCATGATGTCCAAAAACTTTTTCTCAATGTCGTTGATGTTTACGGGGGAAGGGCCCCCTCCCGTCTTCGCTCTCTGCTTTCGAAGTTGATTGTATTTATTTTTGGTGATCGATTGGTACTTAGACCATTTGGCCCGGACTTCATCCCCTGTCCTCTCTCCTCCGGCGATTTTGTTGATCTTTCCAGCAATTTCATTCCAATTCTTCCTTTTCTGCTTCGCGGAACTCAAGTCTTTAAACCCCGCAAACAGAAGTTGATGGTTTTCTTCTAATTCGTTAATTAACAGGTGAAGTTCATCCCCTTTAAAGTTTGCCCGTTGCTTCGCCATGGTGGAGCATGTGATTGAAAAATTATACCGTAGGAAAAATAAAAACGTGCTTACCACCAAAGTCTCTAAGCGCTATAACAAACAAAATACCAAGATAAACAATTACATATTAAATAAAACAAAAAGAAAATGCAAATAAACCTACAAATTACAATACATATGAAATAAATAGCCCTTACATGTATATATAGAATAGGACCGGGCCCCTCTACATTCATTTTCATTTATATAGATTAGGCCTACACCCAATTAATCAACTTTTGATTGAGAGAACTTAGGCATGGTTCAGCTTCAAGTTTTATATTTAATTAAATTCATGTATTCAACAATACAAAAATAGTAAATGTACAAAACAATAGAACATGTTGACATAATCATGTATAAAATTAACATATCGTTAGGGGAAACCAAAAAAGATCGAGATCTTATGTACTGGTGCCCCTTTTACAAAATTAACAAATTACAACACACAAACCCGAAACACACACACACACACACACACACATAACTATGAAACCAGTCTAAGGCTACACCACAAATTATTTATACAAAAGAATATCATGGTCAATCAGATCGAATGCCTTTGACAGATCAAGGAAAATACCAAGTGGATGAAAATTATTTTGACTATTATTTAATAGTGCATCATGTAGTTCAATCAGTTAAAGCTCACAAGAATGATTTGACATGAAACCATATTGAGCATTAGGTTAATAAAGTATTCTTATGTATATGATTAGCTAAACGATTGTACATGCATTTCAATGTGACTTCCATAATTATTAAATGGGTCTAGTGGTATTTAAGGTCCATAATATGCTTGTGCATTTCTTTTTAAACCCAAAACTAATCGGTTCATCCAAATTTGCAAAGGCTTGCCTTTGGAGTTGACTGAGGTGTCAGAAATGTGGACTTTTTTTCAATTGATTCTTTACCCTTTCAAGGGGTGAGAGTGGTCTTCCTGTACAAATACAAAAGATGTTCACATATATTTTTTGCTCAATAGTGATTAAGCTGCTCAAGTTGCTCTAAAATGATAAAATGATTATCTCTCTCACTTTGCAGTATTGTCTTTCGGAGCAACCCAGTGCACCATGTCTTCTGTTGACCTTCAAGGGGACCACCATCCTTCTAGACTGCAGTCTGGACCTCGGGAGCCTTCAGCATTTCCTCCCTCTTCCTCTGGTTCCAAGGTAAAGAGTCTGGCCTAGGGCCCGTTTCACAAACTGTTCATCAGTGGCAAATGACAGTATTAGTTATAAGCTACTGAAATCCTTGCTTCTGATTTGTTATCAGCAGATTTGACACCGATTGTTGTCATTTGTCATTGAAAAAAAGGCTTTGTGAAACGGGTCCCTGGTCTAGAATTTTAAAGCTAATCTTTAGCAAGGGTATTGCACATAACGGCTTGTTCAGATATGATGCAGTAAACCTGTGCAAAAAAGCTGGTGCATTCATTTTACTTGTAACTAAATGGCACTGAGCTCAGTGTATGAGATACAGAAATATGAAACAAATTACACTTTATGTCATAAAAGAAAACTCAGCGGTGTTTGCCGCATCATATCTGAACTTGACTAGAACTGACATTTATTTTTTTACGATTCTCTGGGAGTTAATTTTCCATCATTACTGGAACTCAATATTGCCTATTTGTAGTGTAGTGTGTTATTTGTTGACCCATTTATACTGATCCCATCACTAAGTGTAACTGAATTGTTATTGGTTAAAGTCCCCCCCCCCCCTACCCCCCGGAAGGTATGTGATTTTATTTTCACAATTTTATTATTACTTTGATATCTTGATTCTCTCAGCACTCAGTTTACAAAGATGCCGAATTGGAAGCCAAGTGAGAAGGGCCATGGACTATCACATTCAAAGGTATGAAGAAAAATGAATGGGAGGGAGGGAGGGAGGGAGGGAGGGAGGGAGGGAGGGAGGGAGGGGGGGAGGGAGGGAGGGAGGGAGGGAGGGAGAGAGAGAGAGGGGAGGGGAGAGGGAGGGAGGGAAAGGGAGGGAGGGAGGGAAAGATAGAGGGAGAGAGAATACAAAGAGTAAATCATAGTAAGAGATGAGGAATTAAGAGTGCAATTACAATGTATAATTTGTATTGTAAACTCATTCCAAATGATTGTCTATGGTTCACAAAATTAGCAAGTTGATTTTGTTCTTTTGATGACATGTTCAAAGTGAAGTGACATTTATAACACTTTTGTTCCAATCTTCATATCTTATATTCATCAAACTCTTGGATTATTACTTGTATACCCAGATCTTTTATTTCCTTCTTCAGTCATTTGTGTGGCTTTGATTCAAATTCCTAATCTCTGGTTTCACAAGCATATATGCTTTAATAAATGAGCTGCCTTGCCTCCATGCCTGGGCATTGGTTTGGAGGGGGTATGAGAATTAGTTTGATGGATAAATGAACATTTGGTCACATATTTCATCCAAATGAATACATCAGGGACCCACTTCACGAAGCCCCATTAATATTTTCAATGACAAATGACAAAAATCAGTGACAAAATTGCTCATGACCAATCAGAAGCAAGGATTTCACTAGCTCATTTGACACTGATGACAAATTTTGTGAAATTTCAGCCCTGGTAATTATTCTTGTATCCACATTTTACCTTATTTATCATGGATTTTCTACTAACAGGAACTTAAAGAGTGCAGTGGAAGGGTGTTTGTGGATGCTACACCAGAAGTCTGCACTCCTGAGGTAATTCCAACATAGCAGTGAATGAAGGAGTGAATGAATATAGATGATGAACAAGTGAAAGGAAGGAAGGATAAATGAGCAATAAAAGCTTATGGTGCCTGAATTTTTCTTTTTTTATAAACAAAAGAATGTGAAATGGATCTCTTCAAGAGTGCTTTTCCCTTGAGATATTTAGAGTTCGGATATTACTGGCGTTCCAACTATGATAACCATACAGACACATGTCCTTTGGAGAGAATGGTGAATTTGTGATTTTTCACCGTGCACAAAATGGGAGAGTTGTCCAAAATAATATTACAATTGAATGACCATTTCACGGTTGTGATTTCTCCTTTCAAACACTTCTTATCGCTTGTCTGAATTTCTTAAACTTTTCACCGACTCAACAGTTTCTCTGATTTGTCTACTTTCATTCAATGCACCTTTTAATACAAAATTTTGAATTGTCATGGAATTCTAAACCTTATTTTACTGCTTCTAGTTTGGAATGATTGACATGTCGACGGTAGACGCCATCTTGATTTCAAACTACCACTGTATGCTGGGCCTACCATTCATCACTGAGGTAAGATGTTTTGCCTTTTTAGTGCAATTTTTTGTGTGCAACAATTTCCTACCCCATGTAAAGTATCAACTCTTGCTGACATAATTGCATTATGCTTTGATGTAGAATGCTAGTAATTACACAAACTGCATGAGCAGACAGAGAGTAAAATCACTTTCATTGTCATTTAACATTTGTTTAACCCTACGTTAACTGGGGGGGGGGTCAATTTGACCCCCCCCTGTAGAAATTTCGCGACTACTCCGAAACCGCGGCAGATATAAAATTTTCCTTTCATGACTTTTTTCTTTCGAGTCTTACGCATCTTTTAAAACAATTTTTTTGAAAATCGGACGTAAAGTTACGGAGTCACGTGACATTTTGTTGTTGCATGTCAGCCCGAAAATCGCTCATTTTTGTGATTTGTGTACAAAACATATGGAAATGTCATTTTTCCTAAAAAGAGATAAAACATTGGTTATTTAGTCTTGTTTAAAGTTTGGGTGTTTGTTTTGGGGTCAAAATAGTTGAATTATAGTTATAAATGAAATAAAACAACAAAAACAATAAAATACATAAGTTGAAAAAACAATGAAATACATAAGAAATTATTAAAACAAGAGATAACATAAGGAATAACCTGGCTCTTCTAATTTTTTGTGTTGTATTATTATTCCAAACGGTCTAACAAATATATGTAGTGAAAAAGAATGCTTGAATATAAATAATGTATGATTTATTGGCAAAAATGTGAATTTCATGACCTTATTTGCATAAATTACCATAAATATGTAAATGAGTGAATTTTTCAAAAAATTGAAATTACCATATTATTCTATACACTTCACTTAACATGTATGCAAATTTTCGCGGCGATCGGCCGTGAAACGGCCGAGATCTTAAGGGGGGGTCAAATTGACCCCCCCCCAGTAAAAACCTGGTCTGAAATAGCCCAGTTAAAATAGGGTTAATACTCTTGCCCTGGACATACATACATTTTAGAGGCCAAAGGGCATTAACTCTGTGCAAAAGTAAGCGATATAAGTAGTTTCTGGTTCTCAACAGAAAAAAAATAATTTATTGTTATTATTAGTGAAATTTCTCTCTCTCTCTCTCTCTCTCTATATATATATATACACTTAAACCTGCTCTAGTGACTACCTGTCTATAAAGCCTATATTTTTTGTTTCCCTTGGGCGGTCGCTATAGACAAGTTTGACTGTATATATATATAATCTACATAGCAGTATATCATTTCCTTTTCTCTCAGTTTACAGGTTTCAAAGGTGTCATATATGCAACTGAACCGACTATTCAAATTGGCAGGTAAGGAGATTCACTTCTTTCAAGTTGCTTACAATGAATGTGGAAACATTGCTGTATAACTGTTGTTTTAACTTATATAGCAAAATGTCAAAAAGAAAACACATTGGAAATATTGACAAAAAGAGATTAAAGATAAAGGTGAGTTAAATCTGGTCATCCAATTGCATTGTGAAAGAAAAGGTGTGGAATGGATCAGAAAAAGTTGATCATGTAGCATGTAAGTATTGGTGTGTACTCCAAAAGTCCTGGAGTCATCAAAATCATAATAAATTTGACCCAGTCTTGGTAAAGTACCAAGCACTGTACACAGAAAGATTTATATGGGACTACACAAATGGTGTCAGGGCTACTAACCTTGATTTCCTAATCTTTCTATGCTCATTTCTCAGCCAGTATATATTTTCTACCATAATTGTTTGGCAAATGACATTTATTTGTAATCTTGAACATTCAGTGTATGTTTCATTTGATTCTGTGAGAATTAATTTTCTTTTTTTTACCAGAACTCACATTTATCTTTAATGTGTAATGAGCGGAGAGTCGAAAAAATGCAACTCTTGATTTTGAGAAGAGTGATGTTGTTGTCTGAAATGATATACTCTAGATACACACAGATTATGACTTTAACGAACACTACTTGTGGTAAACTGACCATTTTTACATATTCTGTCTGCCTTGACTTCATACCGGTACTGTTTTGATTTCACCTTCGCAGACAGATGATGGAAGAGCTTGTTGAGTACATGGAAAGAGTGCCCAAGAAGCACTCATCCTCCCTCTGGAAGAAACCCGACTTACTGAAGACATTACCTGCCCCGCTCAAGGATGTGAAGTGGCTCGGTTGCTGGAAGAAGTGCTACAGCAAGCATGATGTCAATGCCTGTCTATCCAAAATCACCAATGCAGCATTCTCAGAAAAACTGGTTAGTTTTTGATGGGATGTGGTTTATATTCAAGTTTAAGCTCAACATGGAAGCCTCACCAACATTGATTCATTATTCTTCTTCATTCATTATGTGACGTTTACACCTAGGTGTTTATCAATTATTTTGTAACTACATTGTATTTTGTTTACGTGCTGCCAGTGGAGGCCAATTTTCCATGTTTTGGATATGGATCAATAAAAGAATCTATCTTATTGAAAGGACAGACAAATTCATGTAAAAACAGTCCAAAATTGCCTATTCCCCTGATTGTTGTGATGGATTGTCATGGTAACAGGATGGGGTTTAATGCTTACCTAGATCATTGTTGGATAATGTTATATGATTACTTTGACCCAAGAGGGATCTACATTATACTATCAAAAGGTGTTTAAGAAATGATTTATCCTTCCCACAATGCCTTGAATCTTGAACCTTGAAATAGCAGTCCTGTTCAGCAGCTCCTAGAATCTCTCCCGGGATAATGATACGCTGTGCTTCGGTGTGAGGTGCCCTGGTTAAGTAAATAATAGCATTTTCACACATGTGCAATAGCTTACCTACATTCTCATTTCTGTTCTTAGAGTTTGTTTGGAGCCCTGACACTTGTTCCATTGAGCTCTGGTTTCTGCCTGGGAAGCTGTAACTGGATCATTAGCTCGGCTTATGAAAAGGTGAGATTATATGCTAGATTTGAATGGTAGTCTCTGTGATTTGACTTGTGATCATTTAAAGAGTGCAAGCAAATAAAGTATTGCTTTAGATTAGAATTCTAATTTTTGGCCGAGTTGTAGGTGACCCTATGTTTAAGCAATTCTTTTGTTTATACCAAGAAATGTTGAAGGAAATTGCAATACCATTGTGTGGTGTAGTGGAAGCATTCTAGTTGATGAAAAGGCCTGATGTGCTATACATCTTTGACATTCATGCTTTTGTTCTCTGCAAAAGGCTGTACTGTAATTATGCTGTTTTTTTAAAACATAGGTGTGAAACCATTCCGTTATTAATGAATGCCTAATCATTCCTACTTCAAATCAGATCAAATGAAAGTTGAAAAAATCAGGTCTCTCAGCTCCAGCTTGTTCATCAATATCTTTGACCTTTATCTCCACCTTTGACCTTTGTCACCACCTTTGACCTTATATCACTACCTTTGACCTTTGTCACCACCTTTGACCTTTGTCACCACCTTTAACCTTTGTCACCCCCTTTGACCTTTGACCTGGCAGGTATCCTATGTATCGGCCTCATCATTTCTCACCACACACTCTATGCCCATCAACCAAGACCCTCTGAAGAACAGTGACGTCATCGTCCTGACTGGACTCACACAGACCCCAGCTCACAACCCAGACAGTATGCTTGGAGAGTTCTGCAGTACACTCAGTAAGTCAGTGAAACTGTTGAAAATGTCATACAGTCAATTTTAGTAACCACCTTTCTTCAAAGACCACATTTTTTGTTTCCCTTGAAAAAACGGTTTCTCATTGAAACATGTACTAAAGGAACCTGTATACAAAGACCGCTTTTTTGTGTTGCCCTTGGGCAGTCGCTATAGACAGGTTCGACTGTATTTTGAATATTTTCCCCATCATACAGTGACATAAATACAAAACCTGGGAATACTTTTCATACCAAAGAAAGTAGGCTCAGAGAATTCTTCAGTACACCCAGTAATCCAGTAGAAATTTTCGAAATGTTATATTTCAAATATTTTTCCCTACAAATAAAGACCAATACCTTTCATAATCCAGAGAGAATAGATACTCTAGTTCTTTCACCTGAATATCAATTCTTCTGTAATTTCAAATTTTCAATGTCACATATGGAAATAATCATCCATGTTTCAAATAATATTTTTAAATTTTTGTTTATCCCCCTCTAGCCATGACAATCAAGAGCGGAGGCAACGTCTTAGTCCCATGCTATCCATCTGGTGTGATCTATGATCTCTTTGAGTGTCTGGCTGGTTATATGGAGAGCGTTGGTCTCATGCAAACCCCTCTCTACTTCATCTCTCCCGTAGCGGACAGCTCGCTTGCTTTCTCACAGATACTTTCTGAATGGTATGTCTTCCATGAGATTGATATTCATATACAGTCAAACCTGTCTATAGCAACTGCCTGTGGGAAACAAAAAAGTGGCCTTTGTAGACAGGTTCCTTTAGTACATGATTCAATGAGAAACCATTTTCAAGGGAAACGACAAATGTGGCCTTTGTAGACAGGTGGTCTTTGTAGACAGGTTCCTTTAGTACATGATTCAAGGAAAACAACAAAAGTGGCCTTTGTAGACAGGTTCCTTTAGTACATGATTCAAGAGAAACAAAAAAGTGGCCTTTGTAGACAGGTTCCTTTAGTACATGATTCAATGAGAAACCGTTTTCAAGGGAAACGACAAATGTGGCCTTTGTAGACAGGTGGTCTTTGTAGACAGGTGGTCACTAAAGCAGGTTTGACTGTATTCTGTAAAATTTCTTTCTTTCTGTTGTCATGAACAAATCAGTAATGTAATTTGTTTTGATTTCTTTGATTGGGTTTTGTTTCAAAGTGTAGCTCCATCATTAGATAAAATGCCTAGTGTTAGCTTTAATACATTTCCCATTTCCACATTTTTGTGCTATTTTCATGATACATACGACTTATTTAAAAGCCTTGTTTTGTCTGGTACTAGTCAGGAGGGGTTGTTTATCATGAGTTGTATACATCCTTACTTATTCTTTACTTATTCAAACTTTGTAAATGACATTCATCTTAGTGATACTCATGGGGTGTTTCCCTCTTGTTTTATACATTGCCGTCTTATAGTAGGTGTTTCCAAGTTCTCTTCAGAAATCGAGGTGATGCATGTAGCAATGTTATTTAGACGACATTTAAGATTTTCTCATTGTGCCATTTAAAAAATTAGATGTAAATCTATTTGTGCTGTACTCGTTTACCAATATAGTTTAGGCTGGATTATTTTTGCTGGATTATTTTTTGCACAAGGAAATTTTCTCTGTGGTCAATACTATCCAAATTCTAACTTCAACCATGGACCAATGGACCCTAACCCCAAACTCAATCGCCAGGGCATTTGTTGTATCACCGTAATTTATGCTTGAAAAACCCTATGTACTCCCTCTCTCTCTGGTCAGGCTATGTGGTGTGAAGCAATCCAAGGTTTATCTTCCAGAGCCTCCGTTCCCTCATGCAGAACTCATCAAGAATGGCAGGTTAAAACACTTCCCAAGTGTACATGGTAAGTTGACCTTGCTTTGCACCATGAGTATATCACCTTCATTCGTCCATCGATGCATGGATATTAAAGCGCAATCAAACATTTGTAATAATTTCATTTGTATGAATTTTATTTAAATAAATTAGTCCGATAATAAGAAGGTTATGAGTGTTTGAAGTAAAATATCACTAATTTAAAAAGCCATGCAAATCTTTATTTTTCAATTTAATCAGTGGATTGTAACTGATTGGAACTCATGGGACAACACCTAATCATTTGCTGTGTACAAAATTATCACTAAACAAGAGACCCTCCTGAATCATAACATTTTGAAGTAAAAAAAATTGACTTTTTAATAATTGTGTGTGTTGAAACAAAATTAGTGACACTTTTGTAGTTTTTACTTTTAGAAACAAAAAATAATAGTAGAATTTATTGAAAGGATTACTTTCATGAGTAGATATTCTCACTATTCTTATTTGCAATGATGTGAATACAGACTACACTGTATCTCAAAACAGATACATTTAACAGACTGATACTAAAACTAAAAAGTATTTAAAACAATGTTTAATGATGAGCATTCATGATGCCCCTCAATGTATGCTATGCACCAAATTGTTAAATTTAATACAGATCTTATGGTTCATGTAATGTCTATCATTTCATTAAAAAAATGCTCTTCTCTATCTCTTCATACAGGTGAATTTAGCAACCAGTTCAAAACCCCCTGTGTAGTGTTTACTGGACACCCCTCTCTTAGAATGGGAGATGCCGTTCACTTTATGGAGATGTGGGGCAAGAACAGTAACAATACAGTCCTCTTTATAGGTGAGTATGTCTTATGATATAATATATTTTATATTATGATATTTTGATATAATATTATGGGTTGATGATATAGCGCTTAAAGATACTATGTCCCATTTGCAGGCCCAACAAATGAAAAGGTTAAATTCCAACAGCAATTGAAAGATAATACTGATTTAGAATTTCCCTTAAAAAAGGGGGGCTTGAAAATGTCTTTAAGTGGGAAAATAATGACTATTAGTTGTCGAATCGACTTAAGAGCTATAGAGCCAGTAAGTAATAGTCTGATTTTCAGACCATTGTACCAAATGGTTGTACGTTTTATGCTGTGCAAAGATTCAATTAGTTTAATTTTGGCCATTACAAGAAGTGGGTTATTGATGTAGACAAATGCTCATGTACCCTCTACAGCTCTTTTAATGTTTGTTATTACCAAAGAAGAAAAAAAGCCAGTCAGTCACTCAATAGTTTCTGACAGTGAAGTCTAGCAAGTAAATGGGTTTCCTTGCATAATTTGAATATAAGGACACTGCTAACATTTAAATTTCACAGATAGGACATACATGACATATTCATAATTGCTGCAAAGTTCTACAGAATTTGATGTTGGCTGCAAAAGGGATATAGTATCTTTAATACCATTTTACAGATGCTAATGATGCTGATCAAACTACAATTTCTTTCTCATCCTACTTGTACCCATATAACATCCAGGTAGAGAGGGGCAAATGTGGATTAAATGTCTTGCCAAAGGATGTTAATGGATTTGCACCCTCAACTCTTAGATTGAGAGGGTTTTCATTTTCTAATGTGTTTCTGTTGGTTTTGTTGGATATTGTTTTCCCATATGTTGTTAGATCATTTGGTGGACATTTTAATCTGAGGCAAACTGGGCTTTTCGAGAGAAGGTTTTCAAGGAAAGGGGGGTGGGGGGGGGGGGGAGATGACTTAATAGAAAGCGTTAAATGCTATGACACATATATATGCTTTTCACACTGGTAAAATTTTGCTTAGCTCCGAACTATAGGTGTGGCTAATGGTGGGGGGGGGGGGAGTGAGGGGGTCTTTAACCGACCTATAGTCCTGGGCTAAGCTTAGCCCTACCTAAAGTATGGGGTTAGTTGGTCCTGCCAAAAAGCAGGACTAACTCCGCAATTGCGGTGCTAACAAATTTTCTTATTGCGGGATAGGAGCTTAGTACGGCGCTATAACAACGTGTGTGAAAACCCCAAAAAGGTAATCCAGGGCTGGGGAAAGTATGGGGCAAAACAAGTGTGAAAAGCATGTTAAAAAGTTATAAAATTCTGAGCTACATTTTCGTTCTCCTAAATTAGAGCCTTCATTTCCCTACTTGGATGCACTGGCACCATACCAACCCCTTGCGATGAAGGCGTGCTACTGTCCTATTGACACAGCGCTCACCTTTCCTCAAGCAAACAAGTTAATGAAAGACCTCAAGGTAAGAAATGCTCAACAAAGGCTTGATACTGTCACATTGACTCAGCCTCACTCCTAACTCCTTTACCTCCTGACTTGTATCTTCTATTCGCTTCAAAATATTTCTCTTGAATCATCTCCCTTCTCGAATTTGTCTGTTTGGTAACTATCCTCCTTTTTTTAACTTCTCAGATTCTTCTCCTATTGTTCTGAACTAGCAAATCAATAATTTTTCCCTCATCCTCATCTTTGTCCTCGTCCTGATCCTCCTCCTCCTCCTCATCATCATCATCATCATCATGATCAACATCATCACCATCATCACCACCACCACCACCACCACCACCACCACCACCACCACCACCACCACCATCATCGCAACTATCACCATCATCATCATCATCGTCATCTGAAATCAGCCAAGTTTATACCATCCTGTAATGTCCTTTTGCCACCCTTAGTGAACTACCAGGGATAGGCCTGTCTATCCTTTGATGAAAAAAATATTTGAATATGTTATCATGACTATTTTTCCTAGAGTGGTTATTTTCCTTAGATTTTGAGTGCATTATGTCCCTTCTTGATTCTGTAACATTATGTAACATCAAATCTTCATGAATGAAACTGTTTTAATCTCATCTTATCTCACAGCCTCTTCAAGTGGTCCTGCCTGAATCCTACCTCAATCCACCAGAATCCCATCCCCTAAGAACCGATCTGGTTGTGGAAGTGGTATGTATTATGGTCTATGGTCTAGTAATGGCTGTCATGGGGAATTTGACACCATTCGGGTGTTAACCCAATAAAAGGTGTTGTCAATCATCAGGAATACTCCGGTTTTGTGGCTAACAGTCAGCCACAAATTGCAGTCAATGTAACAAAATAGGATCGTGGTGATCCTGGGAGTGAACAGCAGAACCTGTCGTTTTTTCTCTTGTAGGGATCATAATAGATTTTCTTTGGTTCCATGACCACTGGAAATATCCTTTTGATTAAATGATTTTGTGTTCACTTCATGTACATGTACAGTTTAACAAGATACTTTGAGCATGGAAAGAATGGTTTTTATTACCATATTATTTGTGTAATTTTCTTTTTTGATAGGACCCAGCAGCTACACCATACAGTCGTGATGATGTCATTAGCCTGCTTGTGAAGAGGAGATATGAGAAGGTCGAGATTACTCCAGAGGTAAGTAGGATATACTTTGTATGTACCTTAAAGGAAACCTCACCCCAAGGAATAACTTGAGTTATTCTTGGAGAGTTATTGTATTCTTGCCCATTGATCTACAAGATTCCCCACCAAAGTGTATGAGAGAGGTATGAACTTAGCATAATGTCAACTTTCTCAGCACGACATGGGCATCTCCATTTTGTTGATAACATGACGAAGTATGCGCGGTCGTTTATCGGGTAAATGTATTCAAATTTATGGATGCTTCCTTCCCAGGCGTGTTTGGTGATGACAAATTTCATTTACCTGCTACAGTCAAACCTGCTTTAATGACCACCTGTCTACAAAGACCACATTTGTTGTTTCCCTTGAAAATGGATTCTCATTGAATCATGTAATAAAGGAACCTGTCTACAAAGACCACCTGTCTACAAAGGCCACTTTTTGTGTTTCCCTTGGGTGGTCGCTATAGACAGGTTTGACTGTATTATGTAATTGTCAGAACTCACATTGCTAGAATAAGCTGTTGCTCTTCTGGGGTGAAGATTTCGCATAAATGAAATAGATTTCAAAGTTCTATATTTTAGTTCTTTTGAATAAATTAGTTACAAACGTTACCCTCGTTATATTTTGGTCACCAAATATTATTTTCACCTTCTCAGCGTTAATTTTCCCTCATTAAAAAGTAAAGGTCTTCTTATTGAATTAAAAAGTCTTTACAACTAGAGCATGGTACATGATACATGTACAAGTTCGCCTGATACGTCAAAATATCAAGAAAGTCATGCTATAAGACATGATCACATCATGTCAAGAATATCTTCATTTAATTATCTCTTGTACGTTTTGTAAGGAATATTGTAGATCAGCACGTAGGAATATATCCTGTCTTTCAGCATACCTACACTTATTTGTTGGGGTGAGGTTTCCTTTAATAATTTTCTGACCTAAACTTAGTTTTGGATTTAGAGATGGTTGATGAGGATTTCAGGCCAACAAGCTGAAAACAGGACCCTGTTTCATAAAACATGATATCAATAACAAGTTACAAGCTACTGTTATAAGCTACTGAAATCATGGCATCTGATTGGCTGAGAGCAAACTTGATATCAATCACAAGTTACAAGCTACTGTTATAAGCTACTGAAATCATGGCATCTGATTGGCTGAGAGCAAACTTGATATCAATAACAAGTTACAAGCTACTGTTATAAGCTACTGAAATCATGGCATCTGATTGGCTGAGAGCAAACTTGATATCAATAACAAGTTACAAGCTACTGTTATAAGCTACTGAAATCATGGCATCTGATTGGCTGAGAGCAAACTTGATATCAATAACAAGTTACAAGCTACTGTTATAAGCTACTGAAATCATGGCATGTGATTGGCTGAGAGCAAACTTGATATCAATAACAAGTTACAAGCTACTGTTATAAGCTACTGAAATCATGGCTTCTGATTGGCTGAGAGCAAACTTGTTATCAATAACAAGTTACAAGCTACTGTTATAAGCTACTGAAATCATGGCATCTGATTGGCTGAGAGCAAATTTGTCGTAGAAATTTAGCATTTGTTATGGATAACAAGTTTTATGAAACCGGCCCCAGATCATTATATCTTTATATCAGTGTGTGCCTTTGGTAGTCACATGGAACAGCACTTATGGCAGGCATTGTGTGGTTTCCTGGACATCAGGAATTGTTGATTCAGAATACATCTTGGGGCCTTTTTACTATGTATATTTGTGGATTGTGTCGAAGTCATGTTATGTTTTTCCAATTTCTATACGATTCTGAATGTAATTATTTCCTATTTCAATGTCATGCTTTTGATGTATTTTTATACATGATTTTAATGTAAACGCAATATATAAAATCCCACAATGAATTTCCATGTTATTATTGGACGAAATAAAATTGAATTGAATTGATTGAATCTAGAACGGATTGCTTAGGCCGGGATGATAGAGCGCCAGGAGTGGCAATGTACCAGACATGGGCACTATACAAGGCTCCACTAGTATTATTGTTATTATTATTAAGGACAATTTTTCAAAATTCAAGGCAGAACTAAACTTTGTGGGAAAAAGAAGGCTCCATTTTTCAAACACTGTAGAAAAACAAAATCGTTAGTAGATTAATTGAAAGTTGATAGAGGTACCGGTACATTGGAGTTGTAGTCACACGAGTTGCAGTCGCATTCAACTTTTTATTTTCTCTTTTTTTCTCCCTTTGTAGGTTGCCAGCAGTCTTGCTCCTGTAGAACTCCAGCCTGGTGTCTTGGTGTCCACGGTAACTGGCCAACTCAACGTCCATGACAACAAGTTTATTCTGGAGGTTAGAACACAAATTTATTGCCAAGTAGATGAGAAATGCACAAGTGGTTTGATTTTATCACAGTCAGTCAAGGTCTGTAAGACTTACACAAATTTAATCAACATTTGTAATTTTTCATCTCATTCACTTCATGTAGTTGTATGTCTTGTAAGGAGAAAAAAGCTCATACATGATGATTATGGAGTGACTGATTTAAATTCATCCTTGAATAGATCGGTTAACTAACATTTCAAATTCATGGATATTTCTTTCCTGGGGACCTAGTGACAAGTTATTCCATTAACCTGTTATTAATAAATGAACTACATGTACAATGCTTGGAATCCAGTCTGCATATATTACCTGTTGCTATGTCAGGCAAACCTCGCAAACTTTCAGGTTGTCAAGAACAACCTTTGTTTAAAGGTACTATGTCCCATTTGCAGGCCAAAAAAATGAAAAAGTTAAATTCCAACTGCATTTGAAAGATAATACTAATTTAGAACTTCCCTAAAAAAGGTGGGGCTTGAAAATGTCTTCAAGTGGGAAAATAACGACTATTAGTTGTCAAATCGACTTTAGGGCTATAGAGCCCAAAAGTATAGTCTTGATTTTCAGACAATTGTACCGAATGGTCATACGTTTTATGCTGCGCAAAGATTCAATCAGTTTAATCTTGGCCATCACAAGAAGTGGGTTATTGACATAGACAAATGCTCATGTACCCTTTACAACTCTTTTCATGTATGTTATTACCAAAGAAGGAAAAAAGCCAGTCAGTCACTCAATAGTGTCTGACAGTGAAGTCTAGCAAGTAAACGGGTTTCCTTGCATAATTTGAATATGAGGACACTGCTAACGTTTAAATTTCACAGATAGGACATACATGACATATTCATAATTCCTGCAAAGTTCTACAGAATTTGAGGTTGGCTGCAAAAGGGACATAGTACCTTTAAAAATACCGGTATGTGTAAAACTGAATATGTTAGTAAACTGATCCATTGCATTTAATTGAATGCAGTGTATACATTCATTTTCAATGAGGTCAAAAGATTGCTTTTTCTCAAGTCTATGGGATTAACATCATGCTGTAAGGGAGCTTTAAATTAGTGAAATGTAGTGACACGAAAAGACTCATCTGGAACGCAAAATGTGTTGAAAATTGTTAAAATATTATAACTGTATCACGCAGAGGTAGATCCCGCATCGCTTGGATATGGAGCTGGTATAGACATTGTCAGATTTAAGTACTGTTAATTACTATAGTCTGACGATAAGTTAGGTTCTGCTGAAATGAATACGTATCACAAGAAAATAATCAAGCGACTTCAAGAGTAAAATATAGTGTACATAGATTTAATAAAGAGCCATCTGCTCAATATTAATATACATGCAAATAAATGACAATATAAAATGATTTGGATTCAATAGAGATTCAAAAGAGTATCTGTATCTGTCCGTGACGTACAATCGACAGCATCTGGTTGTTGCTTACGTAGGTTGTATTTACGAACTCTTAATCTGGGTATGAGAGTATATCACGTCATTCTGTATACACGGTGCGTCCCAGAAAAAACGAAACCGAGAACTATCAATGTTTTATTATAGCTTAATCACAATTATAATTAATAAATGACACATATTTGTAAAGCTTAGATCCTCTTTCATGTGATGCAACTCATATGATGCATATTTCACGCATGAGTGATTAAAAGCAATTTGAAGAGAGGAAACCAACAAGTCATTTGGCGGGCCGTATCTGAATTTGAAGGAGAAAATCAAATTTCTAGAAAGTTCAATTTCTGCTCTTTCATATGACACCTCAATCGGGAAAAATGAGCCAGGAATAACAAAGTTCTGTTTGTTTAAAAAAAATGCTTGCATTTCCATAATTTGATCAAACAAGTTCTTTTCACTGGCTGCCTGCCGTAGCATCAAACAGAGTTGACAAAAGACTTAACTCTGTTTCGTTGAAGATCAGCCATGCATCGGGTCTTTCGTCTTCTTTGTGCATGGCTGATCGTCATCGAAACGGAGTTAAGTCTTTTGTCAACTCTGTTCGTTGCAACAGACAGACTTGTATTATCTCGATAAGGATATAAGACACCTAAACTTTTATTCAGATATGTCATAATAGAACATTTAGTTAACATACATCACTAACTATTATCCCTTTTGCGCTCAGGACCTGTGTTTTTCATTTCATTTCGCTGAGCTACCAAACAAATCTGATGGAATGCATATACTTATAAAAATGATAGGGATAAAGATGATTAGCATAACAACATCCTGTCTGAAAAAGACAAAAAATGATAAAATTACTTTTTAAAAGGATTTAAAAATGTGAAAACATTCTTTACTTGATATTTGCAGGAGCTGCCCTCTCCTCAAGCCAACCCACTGCTTCCTACCGGTCAACCTCAGAGAAAGAGAAAGCGAGAAGAAGAGAACTTGACCACGCCCAAAACCTACACCTCTCACCCCAAGCACTATGTCTATGGTAACATTGACATTGAGGAGTTTGTGCAGAGTCTTGCCACGGTAAGAACGCCCATTAACAAAAAGTTTGTACCTTTAAAGCTCATCTGCACTAGTTTGGCCAGGGGATTAGACCTCCCTGCAAGGTCACTGACGGGTGGTTATCCCATCAAATCAGCTCTCAATTAAAATAAGAAAAAGGGGACCATGGGGGACCAATGGTCACCGATTAGGCATTGTTTGCCATATAGAGGGTGCTTTGTAGCTATAAGTAGTGCAGTGGGGCTTTGAAGGTTCTTCTAACTAACCTTCGAGTCATATTGATAAGGAATATTTATCAGTGGTATGATAAAAAAAAAGCAAATATTGTGCTGCACAGCTTGTTCAAATATTTGTTTCATGTTCGTGCTCAGAAACCCACCTTTTCTTTCATGAATGAGGATATGATAAATATATATATATTTTTAATTTTAAGAAATAAGACCTGATTCATTACTTCACGGTCATGGAATTGTCCTGATCAACCTGATTTAAGTCTTTTCATTGTAGGATTCTTTATCATTATAGGTTCACTACTTAGCAGTACACTGCATATACATGTATTCCTTTTCACTATAGCGATAGAATGGGTCAGTTAGTCTTCCTCTCAAAAAAAAAAGAAGATCGGTTATCATGGAACGAATGGCTTTCTTATGCCTCAGTCACAACTTTGTGTATTTGGCTTGGGTATTGCTGCGTGTGTGTGTGTGTGTGTATTGGGTTTTTACAGACGTGTATCAATCAGATATGATTATTTACACCTGGGGACCGACCTTTAAACGTCACCATCTGAAAGACGTGACTCATTTTCGAACCTGCGTCCTCGGCTGAATCAATTTGTAACTTCCACTTTTAGCTGGATTACAGGCGCACGCCACAACGCCTATTTATGGCAAGCTGTTTTAATATTTATACATATTTCTTGATATAAAAAATTACCATTGCTTTACAACAGAAAATAATTTCTTTACATAAAGAAATAGGAATAAATGTTAAAACGGCTTGCCATAAATATGCAGCAATACACAGGCCAAATAGGCAAAAGTGTGACTGAGGCATAACACCTGACTGCTCAGTCATACATTTTTATACATTTTGACCTCATGGAATTAGAAATATTATGTTCCAAAGGACATCTGGCAGTTCCTCCCCCTCTCTCTCTCTCCTACACACATTTTACGACGGATTGGCGGCCTTTGCTGGTCAGACAGGTTCTGGGGGGTGTTTCACAAAGATCCTAAGTCGATCTTATCTCTATGTTGGACTTAACAATTATGGAAAGCCGTTAGCATCTATGAAAATATTTTGTAAAAGTTATTTTAAAAAGCATAAAATGTTGATTAAATCTTTCATATTTTCTATTATCAGGGAGATATCATGTTCATGATGTGGAATTTATAAAAAGTCTAAAATACTTGATCTTTCGCTTTCGAATATATTTTAGTATAAGGCTACAAATGGCTCTCCATTATTTGTAAGTCCAACTTAGAGTTAAGTTCGACTTAGGATCTTTGTGAAACACCCCCCCCCCCCCCCTGATCTCTTAATCTCTCTCTCTGTTACAGAATGGAATCGCTGATGTCAAGGTAGAAAGCACAGGATCAGGGCATATTGTTCATTTGGTAAGAAAATGTGTCTTCCCCGTCTGAAAACAAACTCTGTTCATTCATCATGTTATAAAGCAATTTTTTATTTTTTAATCCCTTTATTTTAGATACGGTTCTTTTTCAACTTTGAAATCATGAGCGAAAGTGTCCTCATGGCAATCATATTTTTTCTGAGGAACTCTTGTTAATTTACAAAAGCTACTTTTTGGTTGGGGGAGGGGGAGGGGGTAGTATGGATGTGTAGTAGCATGTGTTTCTCTACTACACATGCATACTAGCCCCCTCCCCCTAAAAAGAGGAGCTTTTGAAGCAGATATTTTCATGTGATGTTTTATTTTACCAACCCAGGTGATGTAAATGGGTACCTGGCAGGAATTAATTCCTTGAAATGCTAGTGCGCCGCAGTGGCTGCCTTGCTAAAGCCAGGGTAATAATCGGGGCAGCGCCAGGAGCGTCACAACGCGAAGGACATGTGGGCTATATAAGAAGCCACCATTATTATTATTATTATTATTTTTAAATTTCATTGTCATTTTTAGTACAGGTATATATGATCTTGAATAGCTGTATCTATTTATCCATATCAAAGCACCACAACCACTGTACTTCAATGCAACTTGCCCTTCTTGTTCTCCTTCTTCCATTGAGTATAGTCGTACTTGAATGCTGGGGCTGCAATCTCAAGAACACATGACTTTGAGTGCAGTGACAAAGAACTAAGCTTGTGGCTCCAGACAGCCGATATTTTCATTTCATTGCTACTTTTAATCTTGAATATTTGTATCTAGTTGCCCATATCGGAGCACTACAACTGATGTTCACTGCAATACAACTTATTGTTTTGTTCTGTTTCCATTCGCACAGGAATCGGAAGATACCATTATACAGCTTGAGGAGGGGTCCACCCACATCTTCTGTGAGGGGAATGAGAAGCTGAGAAAACAGCTGAGAGATGTACTGATCAGTTGCTTAGGAAGATTTTGATGAAAGCTGAAGACTTTATGAACTGTTTGTCACAGATGAATTAACTCAACCAGTGGATAATAAAGTGTTTTTGGAAGAAGGTGAATTGGAACTCTGACGACATGCTTTTACCCAAATGTTGTTTTGTGGCCATTCTTAACTAAGCCGTGACTTCTAATGTTGTCTCTCTTTCTCTCTTTTTTAAAAGTCAGTAGGGGTTATAAATGAAGCGAAATCATGTGTTTTAAAGGTACTATGTCCCATTTGCAGGCCCAAGAAATGAAAAAGTTAAATTCCAACTGCATTTGAAAGATGATAATACTAATTTAGAACTTCCCTAAAAAAGGTGGGGCTTGAAAATGTCTTCAAGTGGGAAAATAACGACTATTAGTTGTCAATTCGACTTGGGCTATAGAGCCCAAAAGTAATAGTCTTGATTTTCAGACAATTATACCGAATGGTCATACGTTTTATGCTGCGCAAAGATTCAATCAGTTTAATCTTGGCCATCACAAGAAGTGGGTTATTGATGTAGACAAATGCTCATGTACCCTTTACAACTCTTTTCATGTATGTTATTACCAAAGAAGAAAAAAGCCAGTCAGTCACTCAATAGTGTCTGACAGTGAAGTCTAGCAAGTAAACGGGTTTCTTTGCATAATTTGAATATGAGGACACTGCTAACGTTTAAATTTCACAGATAGGACATACATGACATAATCATAATTCCTGCAAAGTTCTACAGCATTTGAGGTTGGCTGCAAAAGGGACAAAGTACCTTTAAGGGGTTATAAAGGTATTCGCATATTTGAAGGGGTTTATCAATGAATCAAAGTCATTTAATTGACGGGTTATGAAGTAGTCACGTATTTGAAGGGGTTATAAATGAAGCAAAGTCATGTTATTACCAAAGAAGAAAAAAAGCCAGTCAGTCACTCAATAGTGTCTGACAGTGAAGTCTAGCAAGTAAACGGGTTTCTTTGCATAATTTGAATATGAGGACACTGCTAACGTTTAAATTTCACAGATAGGACATACATGACATATTCATAATTCCTGCAAAGTTCTACAGCATTTGAGGTTGGCTGCAAAAGGGACATAGTACCTTTAAGGTATGTTATGATGGTAGTACATGTTTATACCCAAACAGTGACTGGAACTTGCAATAACATTTCAGTGACCCAAATAAAGACATGCTCCCATATCTAGAAAGAAATAAATTAGAAATACTTTGTCTCAATCATGTCAGTGACGTATAAGAAGTATATTTGTTCTTAAAGGGCAATCCTACCTTTATAAAAGTTTGTTTCAATGAAAGCAGAAAATAACAGAAAGAAAATGGCAAAAGTTTGAAAAAAATCTGACAATTGATAAGGAGTTATGAATATTTAAATATGAGATCACTAATTCTGTGAAAACTTCAAATTGGCCATTAGGACGTAGTCACAGAAACCTCCTGTTTCTTGTGTCCATAAATATCATCAATTTCTGTTTTTCTCTTAAGCACCTTCTCCCTTTTATAGGCACTATTCAAGATTTATCATGGATAACATATTATTATAGGTCTTACAAAGTTTTGGTATGGAGTCATGAATTTGGTTGAAATGAACTTATTGGAAGCATATGTGATCCTACAACATTCAGTGATCGTTGCGGTTAAAAATCGAGTCTAAAGTGATGAAATCATAAATAATAAACTCTTTATGTTGTAAAGCTCCCTCTCAAGGTCAAGATATTAATTAAGCTATAAAACAATGTTTCTTGATCGACTGATTAGCTCTTCCTGTTTGGAAATTATATATCACAACTACATATTCTGAGATTTTCATGGTCGTAGCTACAATTGTATGGCCGTAGGCGCTGTTTGAAATTTATCAAAATTTCTCTAAAGCAGAAGTGTTTTAAGTGCTAAATTTTCTTGTGCTTATAATACATCCAAAGGGGCATTCAAACATATCAAAGTTGTAAAGAATCACTATCCATCCAATTTCAAAATTGTCCAAAACTTTGTATTATCTTAAAGGGAACACCCTCCAGAGTCAGACATTTTAGAAATATTGACATCTTAGGCTCTTTGTTTATTAACAAGTCAAGGTGATATTACAGATTCAGCCAATTTAAAGTGCTCATATGTGTATTGATTACAACTTTCAAAAATGTGTAACTCTTTTATTTTTTTTTATGTTATTCATTCAAACCTCCGACATTCTTCTTCTCTGATTTCTTTTGGAGTAGTTGTCTATTAAAGGAACCTGATAACGTTGTTCAGATGAGAGAAAATGGTGCTAAGGTAGTGACTTCAATGCTAGATCTACAATTAAAGATATACTGAAAGTTTGAGTGAAAACAGAAACTGATCTGATCGATTCATTAATTCTCCCAACTATATTATTGAATTTAATTACATTTTAGGTGAATGTAAATCGTCACAAAACAATGGATGGGCTCTATATACCATGCCAAACATTAAAGAGTTCCTTCACTGCATATCTCGTATTTTTACATGATGTCAAAGATGCTATGTATATTATGTAAATTTGTAAATAAAAGAAAGCTCAAGATTCTGTTTGTATATATCATATTTGTTTTGGATCCAGTAAGGCTGAGCGAGCGTAGCGAGCGCATTGTCCAAAGGCGTGGGGTCTATAGGTAAAGCACCAGCCAGGATCCAGAGGTCCCCGTAACATACCTGCCAACCACCCCGATTTAGGCGGAGTTCCTCCGCATTTTTCATACCAACTCCGAATTCCGAATGCATGCCTCAAAACTCCGATTTTTTTTTTTTTTTTTTTTTTTTTTTTTTTTTTTTTAGAGTGTAATGCACTTGGAGAGTTTATAACTATTATGTTTGTATTTTGAAATGTAAAGCACCTTGAGCATGTTCATGTAAAGGCGCTCAATAAATACCAATATGTATGTATGTATGTATAAGACTAAAGCATAACACAGCACTGATAACCAGATCACGCCGACATCCGCGCTCGCGCTCATAGAAGATATACACAGCGACATGGACAAAAAATAGACCCTGAAGTCCTGTGTACCCCCCCCCCCCCCCCCAATCTACGGGCTACTACCCCAATCCTTCGGTGGTTCGCGACCTCGTAGTCCATCCAGAAAAATTTACTCCTAATTTCTCTTGTCTCAGGTTGGCAGGTATGCCGTAAGCTACTGGGCTCATCTCATTTCATTTCATTTTTTTTTTTTCATTTCCAACAAAATACAGTACATAATAAAGAATACAGTGTACAATGTATACAAAACACAGTTACATTTGTAATAAACAAATCTTAATAGTAATTTATACATTTGAGGAAGACAAAAATTGAATTTTTAAATTTAACTGCATTTACATTAGTGTTTTAAAGACCAGAGAACGCATCTCCTTACATAATTTTTCTTCCACTTTTGAGACAAGTTTTGCCTTTAAGTTAGGTACGTGATATACAGTGTAAGACCATATTTCCATGGTAAAACTCACTGTTTGTTATGTAATAGATATATACTCGCGTAACATATATTGCGGAAATCCGTTCAGAGAGGGTTTTTCTAACAAAATCATTGAATAATTGATCACCGATCACATTATGCTAAATTGAGTGAACGATTGATGAAGAGCGTGCATAGCACATGAATGTGGATGATTTTTTTTTAATTTGACGGATGAAAATACGAATTTAAATGCCCTTATCGTGAAATTGAACTATCGAATGGTAATTAGGCCGGGCTAGACTATTTTAATTTACTGCAGGCAAAATCAATTGGATTGGTAATTGGTAAGCTTGCGAAATTGGTCATGACAACGTATATCACTATAGTTTGTATATATGTACCAGGCGCGGATCCAGGATTTTCCAATAGGAGGGGGGGGGGGGGGGGGGGGGGGGGGGGGGGGGGGGGGGGGGGTGGGGGGGGGGGGGGGGGGGGGGGGGGGGGGGGGGGGGGCGGAAATTTGAAAATTGCGCAGACCGTTTTATCAGCTCAACATACCAATACTGACAAGGTCATATTAGAAGCACCTTACCGGTAGAATTTTTGACATTTTCATCGGGGAGGGGGGGGGGGGCTGTAACCTCTTGCCCGAAAAGTAATTTTCTGGTTTCACAATTCGGCTAGCGAGCGAGCAAAAGTTTGAGCATAATATGTATTTTGTAAAAGTGGTATTTATCACCAAAATAAACGAGGAAAGATATAAACAAAAATCATATTCGGGCAGCTCGCTGCCCCCCCCCCCCCCCCCTATTACGCGCGAAGTGCAGAAGCTTTGATGTTTTATGATATTATTAGAGAAAGAAGACGATTTGTCGTACCTTTCTCGATTCATTAATCATTGTCTTAATCCTTGTCTGAATTCAGTTCCCCCCCCCCCTCCCGCGCGAAGCGCGGATGCTTTGACCTTTCATAAATTATTAGAGAAAGAAGTCGATTTGTTTTTACCATTCTCGACTCGTATTCCTTGTCTGAATTCAGTACCCCCCCCCCCCCGCGCAAAGCGCAGAAGCTTAACGTTTCATTAAATTATAAGAGAAACAACACCATTCGTTGTACCGTTCTCGACTCTTAATCCTTGTATAAATTCAGTTTTCCCCCTCCCGCGCGAAGTGCGGAAGCTTTGACGTTTCATTAATTATTAGAGAAAGAAGACGATTTGTTGTACCATTCTTGACTCTTATTATTTGACTGAATTGATCCCCCCCCCCCCCTCCCGCGCGAATCACGGAAGCTTTGGCCTTAATTTCATAGTTTATTTAATGATATTATTAGAGAAAGAAGATGATTCGTTGTTCCATTCTCTACTCTTAATCCTTGTCTGAATTCAAATTCCCCCCTCCCGCGCGAATCACGGAAGCTTTGGCCTTAATTTCATAGTTTATTTAATGATATTATTAGAGAAAGAAGATGATTCGTTGTTCCATTCTCTACTCTTAATCCTTGTCTGAATTCAAATTCCCCCTCCAGCGCAAAGCGCGGAAGCTTTGACATTTCATTAAATTATTAGAGAAAAAAGATGATTCGTTGTTCCATTCTCGACTCTAAATCCTTGTCTGAATTGAATCCCCCCCCCCCCCCCCTCCTCCCGCGCGTAGCGCGTAAATTTTTGACGCTTCATTCAATTATTAGAGAAAGAAGACGATTTATTGTGTTCGCAACGACAAAAAAATTGATTTGCGAGGCATAGACAGTCATGTGTAATAGGAGGCGGCCAAACTTTGATGAGTCTCGCCTGCTGTAAAATGGTACTTTACTTTGTTGAGACATGCGTTTTGGACTCCATCTTTCCATTTCATTTTCCCATCTGTAGCTTTCTTGATGAGATCATCAATCACACACGTAT